AGTCTGGAGGGTTCTTTAGTGTTAATAACTAAATACTGTTTTCTTTTCTCAAGGTGGTGTTGAGGTTTCAAAAAAAATTAGGTTATAATTTTGCGGCTCTTGATAAGAATGCATTGGAATTAGAAAAAAATAAACTCATCCAGAACCGGGAGAAAGAGTCACCAGAAAATAGTATTTTCATTTCACAGAGCTAATAGGAAATAGTTTATTTTGTTTGTAGATTTCTATCCCCTACCTCAGCGGTGACAGGTCTGTAAGTCAAACATTCGGGGTACCTATTAGTGGTTGAATCGTGTCCCTCAAAAGGATACGTTCAAGACTCAGTGCCAGTACCTGCGAATGTGACAGTTTGGGGGAATAGGGTCTTTGCGGATGTAATCAAATCCAGATGAGGCCATTAGAGTGGCTCGAACCCAATATGACTGGTGTCCTTAGAAGAGGTATTGGAGAGACAGTTGCACACGGGAGAAGTGGGGGCAGAGACTGGAGCGCGTGGCTACAAGCCAAGGAATCCAGGGTTTGTTGGCAAAGCAGAGCCTGGAGAGAGGTGTGGAATGGAATGTCCCTAGAGCCATCAGAGACAGCATGACTCTGTTAACACCCAGACTTTGGACTTCTTGCTCCCAGAACTAGAAGCGAATACATTTTTACTATAAGCCACCCACTTGGTGATCCTTTGGTAGAACAGCCCTAGGAAACTAGTATCATTTCTGGTTTCCATTCAGAGGAAAAGCAAGTGTGGGGTAAAGTCTAAATAACATTTAGCCGAATCATTTTGGGGGGATTTCAGATGACCACAGCGCCTCCCATTTATTGACCACCTTCTGCCCAGAACTGCATTGTTTCGTGCAACCGTCAAGAAGACAACTAGGTTGTAAAGTAACCAAAAGTGCTTGTCTGGGGCCCTAGGGATTGCAATTGGGAGACACAGAATCTACCAAAATCTAAAGTATGTGCTGAATTGTGAATCGGGATCCTAGTGGTGGGGGGAGGGGGGCAGGCTTATAAAGGCGAAAACCACAAGGTCACAGAAGTTCTTTTGGAAGAATTGTAATGGGTGCTAACGCAGCTAAACTCACTAACACACCACGGGCTATTTAGCTACCAGGTGTTACATTATCTCTGTTCCAGTCCTAAGTAGAAGGATTTGTTCCAGGAGGTGATAGAGTTGCAACAGACAAGTTGCAACTGACCATAGTCAAAAGTTCCTGCTGTTCTGAGAATTGAAACAGAAGTGTGGAGGCCCTGCGACCTCAATATCCTCCAGATTTTGAAGGGCTCTCAGCCATGCTTGCTTTATTTTGAAATCTGTCAGTGCGTGTGCAACCCCAGGGGCTTTCAGTGTTACCATGTGTGGAGGGCGTAGGTAGAGGCTGAGACGTGACCTGGCTTGCCCATGGTAATCCTACTCGAAAATGGTGACATCCAGTCCCAGACCAAAACTATATGACCATACAGATCTTCGACTTATGATGGGTTACGTTCTGATGAATCAAAATGCATTCAATATGGACTTCCAGGGACGATGGCAGAGTAGGAGGACCCTCGGCTCACCTCGTCCGACGGTTACAACTGGATTAACACCCACCTCAGTGTAAGTAACCCGGAACGTGATCCAAAGCCTGGCAGAACAGACTCTCCCAGCTCAATGTAGAGAAGAGGCCACATCGAAGAAGGTAGGAAGGGTGGAGACGCCATCAAGAGCTAAAGAGACCCTGGGGCCATTCCTCAGGAGGGAGGGATGTGGCTGGCATGGGAAGGGGGAGGAACAGACCCCCACACCAGGCACCACAGGCACAGGGGAGCTTCAAAAATCAACAGGCTCAGCTCTGGGAGACCCAGGAAGGCGACAGGAAACGGAGTCCCCGTCTTTAAAGAGACGCACAGCAAACAGCCTGCTGATCTGAGATACAAGATAGACGAAGCGGTTTGAACAATGCCTGGGGTGTACAGGAAGATTTATTTACTAATCTCAGAGCAAGTGCTGGAGATACAGGGATCTTTAGGAGACTTCTCCAAGAAGAGAAGAGCAGGGTGCCCCTTCCCTCCCACCACCCCCAGCCAAACACAGACACATGCAGGAGCCTGTAGAGGGCCAGCGCTCTCCCCCTAGCGCGCTAAGGGCACACCCCGCCCTGTGTTCTCCTGCAGACCTGCCCCCTCCAGTGGGCCGAAGCCCATCCAGAACAAGGCCACGAGCCCGGCAGTGTCTCTCCAAAGTGACCCTTGCCCCGAGGACAGGGAAAGAAACCCACACGCACCAGTCTGACTGTGGCTCCGTGGGCTGGGCGCAGACATCCTCTAACACAAAGCCTATTTTTTTTTTTTTTCAACGTTTATTTATTTTTGGGACAGAGAGAGACAGAGCATGAATGGGGGAGGGGCAGAGAGAGAGAGGGAGACACAGAATCGGAAACAGGCTCCAGGCTCTGAGCCATCAGCCCAGAGCCTGACGCGGGGCTCGAACTCACGGACCGCGAGATCCTGACCTGGCTGAAGTCGGACGCTTAACCGACTGCGCCACCCAGGCGCCCCGTCACAAAGCCTATTTTACAGACGAGTGTTGACGATCTCATGTCATCTATCGAAAGTGACAGACAGAATGGTTGTTGACCCTCAAAAATTGTGTGGCCGACCGGGAGCTACGGCCGCTGCCCAGCAACACTAGAGAGGATCAGACCGCGTATCGCTGGCCCCGGGGAAAAAAATCCAAATTCCCAAATTTGAGGAGTGGTTTCTACTGGATGCTATTGCTTCCGCACCATTGTAAAGTCGCAAAATCTTACGTCGAGCTATCTGACGTTTGGGGACCATCTGTGTAAGTGTTTCCCTTTGAGTAAAATGGGGGTAACTCTTAGAATTTTGTAGGGTGATAAGGTAAGATGGGGGTATGAGTCAGACCTTCTTCCGCAAGCCAGTTTGGTTGAGTTATCACATGTTAGCCCAAAGAGTGGGCTTGGACGAAGTGAGCGCCGTGTAATGACCGGCTACTGATATGACCTGTGCTATCTCATTTTCGTCCTAATTACCCCTCCTACTGCTTCTCTGTGCTCCTAAAGTCACAGTTAAGTGGGCGCCCAAAGCTCTGCTTTAACCCGAAGCCCACCCCTCTGTTTCTGCCCCTCTGGAGGCAGCAGTGGGATGCTCTGTGGTTAAGCTTTACAGCCTAAGAGACAATTAATGAAAATAATAGATTTTCCTTTGTAGCACAACATGACTAACTTCAGTGGGATTTCTTTGCCACTGAATACACTGCCAAAAAAGAAGGACTAATAAACCTAACTGAAAGTTTATTTCACTTGAAAATAAAATCAACGACGCTTAATGTGACTTGAATTTCAAATGAAGTCATAACTGCTTTTTGCTGAGATTGCTGTAGTCACTTCATGCCCTGCACCAGCACTGAGCAAATAAATCTAAGATTGTAAGCTTTGGGATTAAGAAAGGGCTTTCCTCTGAGCTAGACAATCGTACAAACGATCCATATGATGGCAACCAATGAAACCAAACAGACAGGGTCCCAGACTCAGGAGCTGGTCTGTCTCAGATCCAAATGTTTGCCATTGGGTCTGGGATCTTGGACAATTCACTGACCCTCCCTGGGCATGTTTCCTACTCTCTAAAATGAGGATGATAACAGTACCTCCATTGGGTTGTTGGGCAGATGGGGTGAGTTAATACATTTGAAGTGGTTAGAACAGGGCCTGGCAGGTACTCAGGAGTCAATAAGCGTTGAAACTACTGTTATTATTCAGATTATTAATTTTTTCCAAATGCCTATTCTTATACACCCATTCATCCCTGTGTTCTCCATAAGAGAGAGGATTGAGGTATGAACGGGGTCAGTCTCTACGGAGAGCCCAGTTGTCTCTTCAGCTCATCCATACCCCCCTGCTCAAGCCTCCAGCCCTTGTGCCCGCATGGACCAAAGAAGAGAACAGGAGAGGCGTAGACTTCTCCATTCCTACTTTCTCAGTAAAGTGCACCTTGTCCAGGGCTGGAGCCACAGAGCTTCTCTGAGCTCTGTGCTGAGTAATTAAATTGAGGGCTCTTAGCACAAAAGTCCAGAACTGGGCAGCCAAAGACAAAGAAGAAGAAGAAGAAGAAGAAGAAGAAGAAGAAGAAGAAGGATGAGGGAGAGGGGGAGGAGGAGGAGGAGGGGGAGAAGGAGGAGGAGGAGGAGGAAGGGAGAAGAACAAGAACAAAAAGACGAATGAGGGGGAGGAGGAGGGGGAGGAGGGGGAGGAGGATTAGCTGGTGCATCCCTTCAATTACGTAATGCAGAGTCTTTAGGGAAACCTATCCTTAGGTATCCTTAAGGAGTGCTTTTTTCCATTTACCAAAAAAGAATATAAAACGTACACTAGGGGCGGCTGGGTGGCTCAGTCGGTTGAGTGTCTGACTCTGGCTCAGGTCATGATCTCGCAGTTCGTGAGCTCAAGCCCCATGTTAGGCTCTGTGCTGCCAACTGAGAGCCTGGATCCTGTTTCAGGTTCTGTGTCTCCCTCTCTCTCTGCCCCTCCCCCGCTCATGCTCTGTCTCTCTCTGTCTCTCAAAAATGAATAAACGTTAAAAAAAATTGAAAAGAAAAACGTACACTAAAAGTTCTTCCTCAAATACAAAGTGTTCCCAGTGCCTTTGATGCAGGAGTTGATGAAGCATTCGTTTAGGCGGCAGAGGCACATGCTAAGGAAACAGGTCTAAGGAAGGGGGTCAATCTTTATTGATCACTACCAATGCGGGGCGTTTCATGCAGTTACTCTTACTTGCATACTCCGTCAACCTAGTATGGTAGGTTTCTCACCCATTTGCAGGGCAGGGCAGGGCAGGGATGATCAGAGCAGTCAGATAATTTTGGCCCCTACCCCACAGCAAAGCAGAAATGCCGGGTTGCTGTCCTGCTGTCCAGAGTGTGCCTCCGGGACCTGTGGTCTCCAGGAAGCCCTGTCCCACAGGGCTCCTCCCTGCACAGCTGGAGCCCCATCCTCCGGCAGCAGGTCTTTTGCATAATCCTCTTGCGTGTCATTTACCTTACCTCTCTTTAAATTGCATCACATTAACAACCTTTGAGTCTCTCCAGGACCTCTGGAATTCCAAACAGACCTTTCCTCCAGCAGCCCCGCCGTGTTTGGGGCAGCTCCTGCATCCCTGGGGCCAAGTTTCAATGTCTTTCTCCTACTGTGCGATCAAAATTCTCTGCACATCTTACGAGCCTGTTGAGTCTTCTCACTGAAGCCTGTGGAGCTGGGAAAGGAGTGAGTAAAGCGAATGTGAGTCTAGCTGGGTTTTCTTCTGAAGCAGTGCGGTGATTGACTCGTCTATTCTGATTTACCCTTAATTGTAGTCCTGCATTGCCTTTTAAAATTTTAGACAAGAAGCAGCTAACACTACCTGCTTTCTTTTTTGGGGGGGACCTGGGTTCCTTAGAGCCACCTCCTTCCCCACCAAGGAGTCAGATTTCACCCCTCCCTGGGCTGCCTCCCGAAGCTTGGAGGGTGGGCAGGCGCTTTGCTCTCTGGGCTGATGCTGTATCACGTTGGAAGCTTCATTATTCCTTTTTGGCATAAGAAGGCCTAAGGGAAAGAATGAAATCTGGCCTTTGGTAGCAACGTGGATGGAACTGGAGAGTGTTAGGCTAAGTGAAAGAAGTCAGACAGAGAAAGACAGGTACCATATGTTTTCACTCTTATTTGGATCCTGAGAAACTTACCAGAAGACCATGGGGGAGGGGAAGGGGGGAAAAGTTAGAGAGGGAGGGAGCCAAACCATAAGAGACTCTTAAAAACTGAGAATAAACTGAGGGTTGATGGGGAGGGGGGGTGGGTGATGGGCACTGAGGAGGGCACTTGTTGGGATGAGTAGTGGGGGTTGTATGGAAACCAATTTGACAACAAATTTCATATTAAAAAAAAAAAAAGAAGGCCTAAGATTGAAACCGACTATATCTAATTATGTTGGAGGAGGAAATAGACATTCATTTATTAAATATCTTCCTGCAAACCTCCTGTACACACGTTCTGTTTAATGAAGCAGAGGGCACCCAAGTCCACCGCCATCGTCACAGAGATTGTAGAGATAAGATTTCAGGGCCAGCCGGGTCAGGAGGTAGCAGTAAGGAAGCAGTTTTGTTCTAGTCCGGTTGCGCTCTGGTGATGTTAGAATAACAATGTCCTTGAGGGCTCACGCCGGCCACTTGGCGGGGGACCAGCCCCAGCGAATGCAGCTGGGAGGTTCATCGGAGAAACGGAAGGCCTGAGCGAACTCCACAAAGTAATTGCAAGGCACTAAAGATATTTACAATTTCTCCCCCACCCCCACCCTGCCCCACCTCCAAGTTTTAGGATCAAAGCTGAGGCATCTGCACTTCAGGAAAAGAAGGGCTGGGGTAGGGCCAAGCTGAGGGGGAACGGAAGATTCCAGATGATCATCAGAGCAAAGGAAGGGCTGAGCAGTGAATTGCGGGGTTGTCTTAATTCTGATTTTCTGAATTTTGATTGCACTGGAGGCTGTGATCAGTTAGGAGCTGTTGGCATCTCCTTTAACCGAACCTCAGGCTGCCTTAGTGAGGACAGGTCATTCATTGTTATGTAACGATTCTCAAGGAAAACTGCCTGGTTGCTCAGTTAATTGAAGCCCCGCAGGAACCACTGTGGGCGACCGTGTGGCTGCTTCTAAATGGGAAGAATAGAAAATTACTCAGGGAAATACTTCTTTTGCTTCTCTCTTGTTTATGAGTTAAGAGAAAAGGGGAGTTTGGGGGGTTTTGGAATGGAAGAGCTACGTGTAACTAAATAATGTGTTATTTGGGACGGGTTTACTCTGCAGTTGTATTTATTATTGAATGAAATTCTTTCCTGTATGTTTTGAGCCTCGATGTGTGGGATCAGAGACAAGGATTATTGTTATCATTATCGTAAAAGTGTCGAGAATACCCTTGAACTTATCGTGGTTACAAAGGTACTAAAGTACACTCATTCTGGGTGACGTTAATGGGTCTGGGCACTCATTGTGGGCCCTTGCAAACACATTCAAACTTTCTCCTTTCAAGAAACTTGGTGTTAACACAAAGAAGGCACCACCAGACATTCCAACAGAAACCACCGGCTGGTGAGACGTTCAGAGCTTTGCACACGGCCTCAGGTGAGAGAGAAGAGGTCCTTCATGGCATCTATTTTAAGAATCTAGAAGAGCTGTAAACCCATCTATTCACTTGACACGATGGGTTAGCTTTGAGAAGATGATGTCGTGAAGGCTGGGCTTTGTTAAATTGGTCAGTTACAGTTCATGTGTGACCCACAGCCCATGTACAACTGACCAAAGATTTAGGGCCAGCGTTGAACAAGGGCAACCCTTTTTTTCTACTTTAGTGGGAAGGCGAGCCAAAATGGCACATCTCAAGGAAATCAATGAAAAACAGAGGTGGATTTTTTTTTTCTAGTTGAAATATTTGTTGAGGCAATTGTGCATTCAAAGCATCCTGCCTACCCTTTAACATCCAGCTCCCCTAACCACGGTAACATCTTGGAAAACTGTAATGCAATAGCACAACCAGGATATTAACATCAGTACGATCTGCCGGTCTTGCTGTGATTTCCCAGTGTTACTTATTTGTCTATGTGTGTGTTTAGCTCTATACAATTTTACCACCTGTGCATCCGCCACCACAATCTAGATACAGAACAATTCTGGATGCGTCCTCTTTCTCTTTAAAAACCACATTCACCTTTTTGCCAACCCCACCTCAGCCTTCCTTCCACCCCAGTCCCTAAGCCTTGGCAACCACCAATATGATCTGCATTTCTAAATTTTTATTATTTCCAAAATGGTTACGTGAATGGAATCACAGAGTACGTAAGCTTTTGTTTGTTTTTTTCCACTCCATAAAATTCCTTGGAAATTCATCCAAGCTGTTGGGTATATCTGTGGTTTGTTCCTTCCAGCTGCTGAGGGGCGGTCCATAGCATGGATGTACCAAAGTTTGTTTAGCAGTTATCTATTGAGGGACAGCTGGGTTGGTTCCATTTGGGGGCCATTACGAATAAGTTCATGATGAACATCTGTGTGTAGTTTTTGATGTGAATGTAAATTTTCATTTCTTTGGAATACATGCCCACAGGTGCAGTCCCTGGGCTCTATTATATTGGCATGTTTGGTTTCATAAGAAGCTGTTACACTGCTTTCCAGAATGGCTGCACTGTTTTCCGTCCCCACGAGGAATGTGTGAGCGGTCCAGTTTATTTACATTCTTGTCCACGTTTGATGTTGTCTCTATATTTTCTTTCAGGTGTGCTAATAGCTGTGTAGTGTTAGTTAGCTCTGTGTTGTTTTCATTTGGGTTTTTCTGATGGGCTCATGATGTTGAACATCTTTCTAGGTGCTCATCTGCCTTCTGTATATCCCATTTGGCAGAGGTATACGACTATCTTACCCATATTCTATTTGGACTGTGTGATTTGTTTTCACTGTTGAGTTTGAGAGTTCTTTATATATTCTGGGTACTAGTCCTTTGTGAGATATGTGGTTTGCAAGTATTTTCTCTGAGTCTGGGGCTTGTCTTTTCACCCTCTTCATATGGTCTTTCTCAGAGAATAAGTTTTTAATTTTGATAAAGTCTAATTTGGCACTTTTTCCTTTTACAGATTGTGTTTTGGCAGCGAGTCTATGAACCTGCCTAGATCCCAAAGTTTTCCTCCTACAGTTTTTGTCCTAAAGTTTTATAGCTTCAGGGTTTCCATTTAAGCCCATGACTCATTTTGAGTTAATTTTGGTATAACGAGTGAGACTTAGTGAACGTTCCATTTTTGCCCACACCTGTTCAGTTTTCTGTCAACATTGGTCAGAAAGGCCAGCTTCCATTTCCCCTTCATTGAAACGTTTATGCACTTTGCCGAAGAGTCAGTTGAGCACGTGTGCATGTGTCTCTTTCTGGGTTCTATATTCTGTTCCATCAATCTGTGAAAAGAAAATTTTAAAAATTATTTTAGGGCTTAGAAAACCCACACGGTTTTGTTATTTGTTTTGGACTTGTGAATAAGCAAACTCTGCACTTTTAGTTTCTCACAAATAGCACTTGCTATATGAGTTTAAAAATACAGACACACAGGGGCACCCGGGGGGCTCAGTCAGCTAAGTGCCCGAGTTCAGCTCGGGTCATGGTCTCACAGTCTGTGAGTTCGAGCCCCCCGTTGTGCTCTGTGCTGACAGCTCAGAGCCCGGAGCCTGCTTCAGATTCTGTGACTCCTTCTCTCTGTCTGCCTCTCCGCCTCTGACACTCTGTCTCTCTCTCAAAAATAACTAAACATTAAAAAAAAAATTAAAAAAAATAAAGACACACATACATACCTCTCTCTAGATATATACAGATGTACATGTAAACACGTGTATACTCAGGTAAGGGATATATACAAATAGACATACATTGTGTGTCTATTTGTATTCTAAATGGATAAAATTCCTAAATTCCTTGGTATAAATTACTGAGAGTAAAAACTCATCCATCATAAGCTATTAATTACAAGTTTATGATTTGCCATAATTAGAAATAAATTTTCCGACATTATTTTTAGAGTAACAAAATCTAAGTTAGATGTAATTTATTCTACCTGTACACAACATCAATGTCGTAAATTTGCTCTGTTGCTATTTTTTTTTAATTGTTTTCTACTATCTTAAGATTAATGGTTAGCAGTTTGGGTATAAGTCTTCTTAACTATGTAATTGTGCATATATGAAACTTAACCAGAGCACCTGTTAATCATATTTTATGTCAGAGGAATGGAGTTTTCTTTTCTTTTTTCAAAATCAAGCTGAACCACACAACCTGATAGCAAGCTGATGATAAGCAGTGTTGTGCTGAAAATCACGATAATGTTTATGATAATAAGATATAAGGACCTAGATACACACACACACACACACACACACACACACAGAGATACACAATTTCTTTGAAGAAAGAAAATTGTTGGTGCAACATATACTGACACTTCTAAAGGCTACAAATAACAGGACAATATTGCCCCCTGAGAATTGAATTTGTGACATTAATACCTATGGTGTAGAGATTATCTCAGCACGCAATTCCCTTACACGATGGAATATATTTCAAGTCGAAGTAGAATTCTGAGTACATTTTTAAATGTGAAAGACAAACATAACCAATTTAACGTCCTTGAGTTATTAGCCTGGGGATTCCAAAAAGCGAATGAAGCTTGTAGCTTATCAGCATTTCCAAAGGAACGAAAGCCTAAAAGGCAAACACGAATTACGT